TTTTTTTTTTTTTTTTTTTTTATATATATATAGCTTTTTTGTAATTGAATATATGTTTGATAGCATTCAATATTTCCCACCGTTATGAATGATAACCAAGTACATAATTGGTACATCATCAAACCTCCCATGCTTGATGCTTTGCTAAACCACCCGGTACCATCGGCGACTCTTCTCACCATCGGCGACGTCTCCTCCCATACCAATATGCAAATGCAGCAATCGATCCAGCTAGGATAACCCCAGCGGTCGCATGCCATGGATACACTGGTTTTTCTAGAACAAGGGAAGGACCAGAATCACCAACATTGGTGATTTGTGATGGAGGAGGTGGTTTACGACTAACTGCCATGGCATAGCTCAGCCCTCGGCTTTCCAACTCGGCCAAATCCTCAATAGCAGGTTTCAGACTGGTGACCATGGCTATAGCTGCATACTCTTCTTTTGTTCCACCTTCAAGAAAAGATCCAACTAGGTGACCTTTGTTTACCCAATAAGCCCCGAACGTGTTCCCTGAGAAATCCCCGAAATGTACGACCTCCCCGACATTGTCCCCGTAAAACTGCCACGAGAGTGCGAATATTCTCGAGTAGAAAAATGGTACATAATCAAACTCTCCAGATTTTTCTGGCTCCATAATGGCAGCAACAGCATGTCTAGCACATTTTCTGGCAGAATCAACATGCTCGAGTCTCCGGGTCTCACCGAAAAGCTTGACTGGAAATGCTGCTACATCTCCAACTGCATAGACCGAACTATTACTCGACTGCATCTTTTCGTTTACCTTGATTCCACCCTTTTCCAAGGTCAGCTGGCCTTCAAACAGGCTCGTGTTTGGTCGGATTCCTATTCCGACAACAACCATGTCCACAAGGAGCCGTTTTCCATCTCTTAGGTTGACAGCAACAACCTGAAAATGGTTAGTTAATCAGTGTCTACAAGGAATTTGTTGAGGATTATTGGGAGTGAATCCCACCTTGGTTAATTTAGTGGAAGATCATGGGTTTATAAGTGTGGAATATTATCTCCATTGGTATGAGGCCTTTTGGGGAAGCACAAAGTAAAGTCACGAAAACTTATGCTCAAAGTGAAATATCATACCATTGTCGAGAGTCGTGATTCCTAACAGAATTTTGAGGAAAAACTTTGTGAAACAAACAATTTAATGGAGCTCTCTCTGCGGATCAGTTCCTCTTTCTCTCATCAAATTCATATTTTTTCACCCAATCACTAAAGTTGAGTCTGCAGTACCTTTCCGTCAGCGTCCATATCAAAAGATGACAAGGCAGTTCCTTTGACAAACTCCACTCCTTTAGATTTGTAATAATCTTCATAAAAGCTTGCAATCTTGGGGGTAAATAGACGAGGCACTATAAAGATGAAAAGTTCCTCAAGTTTACCAATTGTGCATGCACCAAGGATGGTTAATGACTTGAGCAATAAAAGAACGCAGAATAGCTAGGTTACTTACTGCACTGTGCTTCAGGGAAAACCATTGTTACATTAATTTTATTAATCACTAGAGATGCAGCACACTCCATTCCTATGTAGCCACCACCGATCACAACAGCATTACCCCCCGAACTAGAACGCATCACATCAACAAGCCTATTCGCATCGGTTAGGTCTCGTAGATAACATACATTTTCTGCATCCGATCCATTCACTCCAAATTCTTCTAGCTTCAAAGCCTACACCCGAAAGAAGGGAAAAAAAAAAAAGAAAAATACTCAACCCATCACGAGAACTCGAAGTCATTTAAACAGTGGCTACTTGTACATTTTGAAGCCAAGGACTACAATTCTAGACTACCATGAAACTTCAAGATCTATTAGATCAGTGAAATCTGTCTCACAATATGCAACAAGTTTGGACCATTTATACCCAGATGTTAGCTAAACAAAGAGAAAATATATGAAAATTGTGCTTTCTTTAAAAGATTGCTGCTATACCCGAGCACCTGTTGCGACGATGAGAATCTTGTAACTGATAGTCTCTCCAGCTGCTGTTAACAAGGTCCTACGCCTAACATCAGCTGATATTACTCGGGTCCCAAGAACTAATTCAATTCCTGAAGAGAAGACAGAATCATGGTTACTAGGCTTCACAACTTATACCTGCCTGAATCATGACTCATGAGATATACAAATTTGTATATGAAAAAGCAGAAATGATATCAGATGATCAAATTATCGCATGCTCCTGATTTCTGGCTATGTGCATTTGAGTATACAAAGGTATAAATTGATATGAAATGACTTAACTAGAGGCGAGCATAAGTAGAAAATGATTAGCATGATCAAATGGTCCATGAGCTTCCTACATCGACACGTTAGAATTGCAGACCAAACAAGGCAGATACGAATTACTTGCCATGTTCTTTGTACCATTTTGGAGTTAACCGTTCCTCATTGGCACCGACACATGTGTGGAATGCTGGAAGGCGTGCTGGAGCTGCACATTAGCATAGAATTCTACATTACATATGTGTCCTAAAAAAAAAACAATGGCAAAAGTTTCTGTCGGATGCTAATCAAGATGGCATACAAAAGTTAGCATCCTGCTAAATGATAAAAGCAACCATCCCATGCTCAAGGAAACGCCTGGTTTTCGATAATTCTCGGAGAAATGTATCGTTGAAGCGTTAGTTATCGTAAAATGATTTTTTTATTACAATAATTGAAGATACGAGGATTTAAACTTCTGACTTCAAAGAAAGGAGTACATGTCAACTACCTATAAGCTATGCTCACTATGGCTTCTGTTAGTTTTTCTATTTCCTTTCCTAATCTATTTATACATAAATAGCCATTGATGCGGCAAAGTAAAAAGTCCTACCTTCTGGAAGTAAATACCCTTTACTTAAAGCAGGTCTCTCATAAGGTGCTACCTATAAGAGATTCAAAGAAACTACGTATCATGAAAAATCAAAGATAATTCCCACTTTGCACATGAATAGCAAATGAAATAAAATAACAAAATAGTACTGATTTTATTATAAACACCAAGTTATCTTCTAGTTTACGTGTGTATAATCCAACTAAGAAGCTCCACGACAACAGGGAATGAGCAGTTCAGCAGAGAAATTCTGTGTCATATATGGTAATTAATGATATTCAAATCATAAGGAGAAAATTTCTATTTATAAAGAAAAGAACACCGGCAGAAGTAGGAGTGCCAAAAACAGATGGACCTGTTTGTTCAATATGCCTTGAAAATCCATTTCCAGTTGATGACAAATAGATACATACAAAACAGGTATAATAACGACGAGACTTAAGAAATCAGAGGTTCCCAAAAGAATGCCTGAATCGGGGAATTTGCTTGTGAAAAGTGGTATCCTATTTTGAACTAAACGTTGAATCATGTAAGTGCGTGGCGATGAAATGTGATAATCATTGCGAAGAAGAAGTAAAGTTAGGTAACGAATTGGGGAGATTGAAAGGATTTGCTCACCGATTCCTCGGAGATTATGCAGAGTTCACCATGAGAGACTCCTCTGTTGGAGAATTCAAGGGCGGCATAACCAGCAGCAACGCCTCCACCAAGAATCACATACACGAACGCCCTCCCCATCTTCCTCCTCTCTATCTCTTTCTCTCGCTATTGGTCTCCGGTGGTGCAGTCGATTCTGAGCATGAGACCTCCTTCCGAACCATTCCAAGAGATAAAGAAGAAGATAAAATTATATAATATTTTCTTGTGTGGACTTAATTTCATTTTCTTTAAATTCGGATTTTATTTCAATTTTATCAATGTTTTGTATGAAAAAAAAATAATAATTAATAATAATACATTTGGAATTTTTAATTAATATTATGGAGGCTAAAATCGTCATTTAACATTCTTTTAAATATTAATTCAGCGTACAAAAGACAAGTCAATTTCTAGCGATCCCTATATCGGCGACATGTGGCAGTTAAAGAAAGGACAAATTTACCATATTGTCCTCTAGAACAGTGCTGATACAATATCCGTTCTATCACCGCCACGTACTACATTTCCTTTTTCTTTTCTTTTTTTTTTTTTTTTTTTTTTTTTTTGTTTTTTTGCAAAGTGAATTGCCAAAATTTTGTGAAATATCATGGTTCATACAAAATATAATTTTAAAAAAAAATTTAATTGGATGAATTATACACGTCAACCTCACAAATTTGTTCAAATCGGGAAGTTGAATTATAGTTAAGAGATGTCGATTTAACCTACAAGAACTGCCCTAATCAATATGAGAAAATTCTATACGAAGACGACACAAAAATTCTTAGCGAGAAACTCGATCCATGTAAATTGGGCCTAAGCCTAATGATTTTGAATCCAAGGCCCAGCCCAAAGGAAGATTGGGCCATTTAAAACTAAACAAGGATTCAATTGGTAAGGTTACATAAGCAAACATAGCTCAAAATCTAGTGGCCATCATAAGCATTTTAAAAAACACAACATCATGCATGCATGGATGACACATACATACATACATACATACATATATATATACACACACACATACATACATGGCCGACCCCAACATGTGCTGAAATTGTCCAAATGTTCCACGTGCATATCATGTATTTCATGATTCTTATTTACAATTGTTTAGTGCCTCAAATAACATGTGCTTATATTATATATATAAATAAGGGAGAAGGACCTAATTGCAAAGAGATATGGGCGTTGGGGACAAAATGCAAAAAGTGGCTTTTACCTTTTGTCCTTTGTTTACCCTTTTCGAATGTGAAGTAATTTTAATTTTTTTAAGAAAGCTACCCTCACATTTTTATAATTTGCTTGCCAATCCCTAGGTTTTTGTTAATTCAAATGAGGCCCTTCACACATTTGCTTTTTAGTCCATATCTTGTTGCCTTTCTTACTTTTAATATTTTAATGAATTTATAGTAAAGAAGTGACATTTCAGGATGGGAATATATCATAATAATAATAATAATAATAATAATTGAGTACTTGTGTTTTGTATATGCCATTCTTTTTAATGTTTATCTCGTGGGCTAAATAAATATCAGCTTTTTTTTTCTTTTAATATCTTGTTAAAAAAAAAACGGCGGTGGAAAATAAACGGGTTGATTTAATAAGCTCAGATTTATTTATCTCATGTGCAAATTTATGCGGTCGATATGAATGTAACACGCTTATAAACTAGAATAAATAAATTTCTTAAACGAATGTAACGATAAAATTAATTTATTTAATTGAACTATTTATTTACCACCTATTTTGTCATAATTATGGTAGATATTTCTTTTAGGTATAATCAAATTTTCTATAATTTTGAATTTTTTAATCCAGTAATATATATAAAAGAAAAAAATCCAAAAATAAGAAAATTAATCAATTTTTTAATAATAAATAGTGGACTAAAATAGTAATACACAAAATCAAGGATTAAATTGCATTAAATTTGAAGCAACCAAAGTCAACAACTTTGTAACCAAAATTAAATTATATATATAATTAAATTAAATAAAAAGAGGCGCCATGCAATTAAGATAAATTAAATTTATGTCCACTCTTTATTATTGTTTTGTGTTTAAAGAATTTTTCCCGAAAATATATATATATATAATTCAAGAATAGATCACAAACTAATATTTTTATAGAATCAATTCCAGAAATATTAGAGTCATTCGACACGTGGCAACACAAGAATAGTGGAAACCTATATCAATATATCCAAAATACTAATAAATAAATATTTGTACATCCAAAGGAAATTCACCACACCTTTTTAAATGTTGTTGCCCAAAAAAGGGTTGAATTAAAAAATAATAATTTAATTATGTGTTAAAAAAATCCAAATAAATAAATAACCGAAGGTTGAAGGTTTGAATCCACACTAGTCCTCTCTTTATCAAGGTCGATATTTTTCGCTGGTTGGTCTGACTTTCTTTTAGATATATGTGGAAGGGTAGACAAGTTCAGAACCCTATCAAAGGACAAGGTGCTGATAGACAGGTTTGTAACCATGTCTAAGATCCACGTTACTTGTGTTGGTCGGGTTTAGATTAAACGAAAAAAATTTGGTTGGATTAGATTGAAGGGGGGTGTACTGTAATACCATAGACAGCTGCACCAGAACATTTTTGTTTAAGGCAATATTGGCCACATATTTCTTTCATTGAAAAAAAAGTGAAACTTTACAGAAACTAAACAATTTAATTTGCTCCTTTCTCTAGTTCACAATCTCAACACTTAATTAAAATTAATTAGTACTGAGTGTATTTATCAGTAATTAAATGTGATTAAAGTCATTTAAGTAAGGGAGTTGAAATTTGGTTTTTCTAATTTAAAAAATAAATGCAGCATTCTTTAGTATTCTTCAGACAATAGAGTTGCTATTTTCAAAATTTGCCATATTTTGAGAGAATAATTTCGAAATTACTCCTAATAAAAAGGAAAGAAAGCTACACATGAGATTAGGGTAATTTAAAAGCAGAAGCTACAAAATTCAAAGCATTACCCACAAACTGTGTTGATATAATAAGCCACATATAGAGTAGTACTTCATCACGTTGTTTACAAGAGAGAGAGAGAGAGCTGTCAAGCTTGTATAAAATAAAAGCATGTGACTAAATTCCTCAAAAGATGCCATTGCAATATCCCACCTACTTTCTTGCATATAAGCATTCTCGAAAACGACTGATCAAGATCAACCCAAGCGTTGTTCCGAGACTCTTTGTATGTGCTCTTTCTCTCTCTCTCTCTCGAAGGAAAGTACCGTTTATCGTTTGTTTGTTGCAATAACTCATTTTGGTGGCTTCTAAATAATAAGGATGTATTGACACTGTCACGAGAGAAAAAAATATCGATCTATCATGTTTCTTAGAGCGTTCGACGAAAAATCCAGAGATCATGTAATAATATATAAAAGGAAATTTTTATTTATGGTTCAACTATACATAATTTAAACCCAGCAGTTGTTGTTCCTCCCAGCAAGCATTTCAATCAAGTAATTGCATGGACCAAAGATCCTCCATGCTCCAGTAGTCGTCATTCGCCCCATCCCCACGAGGCCAAGTCGTCTGCTGAAAGGCCATAGCCTCTGTATCTCCTTCATATGGTGGGAAATAGTCATGGCTGATCTCCATCGGCCCCACAACATTATTAAAGCTCGAAACTTGGCTGCACGGGCTGATGGCATGCTCGTCGTTCGTCTCTGAACAGCTACCTATCAACATCATCTGTTCATGAACTCTTTCGGCATCCCCCTGCTGCTTGATACGCTTTTGTATCCTTGTCCTCCAATAGTTCTTTATCTCGTTATCTGTTCTTCCGGGGAGTTGCCTTGCAATTTTTGACCACCTGCAATATTTTCAGTTTTTGAACAAAGAATTACAATTGTGAAGGTGAAAATTGAACCCTTCACCCATGGAGAGTGTTTTCATGTCTTTCACATTTAGCTTTACTCAAATCCGCAATCAATTACAGTATTATGAATGCATCGATGATATTTTCTTGAACTTAGCACGAAGTTTTTGATCCAGTTTCCCACTATTTCCCATATTCTACTCGTGTATATATTTCAGTACGTGTGTTCTTCAGATAAACCATAAAAAAAAAAAAAAAAAAAA